GCTTAAAGATTCTTACTTAAAAAGGGTCACAATTAACTTTCCCAGTCTTTTGTGCTTACAAACACGGGGGTATTAAAGGGGCTAGTGGACTCCTCCACATGCCCTGCCCGTAGCTGGTCATTAACCAAGTGCTGGAGGGCCTCCAGCTTTTTCAGAGGAAGCGATCACTGTGCAACCCATACGGGCTCTTCAGTAAGCCAACGGAGGGGGAGGGCCGTACGCCTAATCATCAATATGAATGGTGGCAATTAAAGCGTTAATAAATCACGGCCCCACAGGTTAAGATGTAGCCCCCTCCATCATCCGCCCACGGACTCGGGCCGCGGCGGTGAGAGCGCCGAATCCTAACCACTAGACCACCAGGGATAAGCTGCCCGGGGCGTGCCCTCCACCTGCTGGGGGATGCTCAAAAACTGCCCTGTGCCATACAACTGCTTAGCAAGATAGGCCCCCCCACCTTCTGCTGCTGCCGCAAGCGCCTCTCGCTGGTACTTGCTGTCCCACAGAACATATTGCGCGGGAGACAGCACCATGCGACACATGTCTTTCCAATCTTGGGGGAGCAAGGAATAACTGTTTGACACACCTTCCATGATCCCCAGGGTGAAAGTGGACCGCACCCCGGTCTCACGAACCGCCTTGCGGAGCTCGCGCAGAACCGAGTAGGGGAGAGCCTCCCAATCCACTATCTCCCCCCCATTTCCATTATCCCACCAAGAGACGGGGAACGCCTCGAACCCACAGCTGGATTCTTCGCCGGTCAAGAGACCGGCCTTGCGCGCTGGCTGCACCGCCGCGGCGTCAGCGCCCCCCCGCCCGACCGGTAGGCATGGGGGCGCCGCCACGGGCGGCGGCGCAGGGAGGGTCAGCTGCGGGCAGGAGGGGGGTGGCCCATCACCTGGGGGCAAAGGGGAAACCGGCTTAAGGCCATCGGGGCCGAACCCCTCCAGCGCCTCCTTACAACGCTGCCAGAGCAGCAGGTGCTGAACTGGGGCACGGGGTTCATTATACAAGGTAATCCCAATCCGTATCCAATCAAAAAGCTGTAAAGACCCGCGGTCCGGATACCAGGGGCACTGGCGATCTATTTCCCTTAGAAGGTCCTCAATATGAGCGACCGGGACAGCGATGCATGATCGCTGCCGTATAATCTTATGTAACTCTCTTGCGTGCTCCTTCTGGGCACTGGAAAGTCTCCCCCCCATACTCACGAATTAGGGGCGGCAAACAGCCGCGGGCGCGCTCGGCATCTCCAGCCGGTGAGTAGAGGGGTATCACGTCGGGGTCACCAGCTGCAGTGGTGACGACACAGGAAAGGAAACAGAACGCCAGGTTTGTTGGTAGCCAGAGGGCTTTACAAGCCTCCTGCAAAAAGCCTCAAGCCAAAAGCCTCCCAGGAAAACTTTTCCTGGGGTTTTTATTTCTCTCCTTACTTTGTTTACAACTTTTCTTAGTGGTTACATCTTTGCCCATTCAGAAGGCAGGCAGGATACACGCAGTGTGCAATTATACAAGATAGCAAACTCATCTATTGTGCGCGTGAACAGCCAGCTGCAAAGGTACTATCAGGCTAGCCAATATGTTTTCCAAACATAGGCACTAGAACAAGGTCACTCCCGCCTCAATTCCGAGGGAACAGTTTGCCGTTCTTCAAGGCTTATGATTAGGGAGCAACACATTCCTACATTAGGGTTGCCAGGTCCCCTTTTCAACCAGACTTTCAAGTCAAAAACTGGCACTTGGCAACCTTAAATGGCACCCAGACACAGAAGCCAAAACCCAGACTGTGTGGGTAAAACCCAGATGGGTGGCCTTTGGAGATATGTGCTGCTAGCATGCCATTGTAGGCAGTCTCATCATACCATCCCATCCGTAAACAATCAAGCTCAGTCTTGAAGCCAGTTAGGTTTTTTGCCCCCACTGCTCCTCTTGGAAGGCTGTTCCAGAACTTCATTCCTCTGATGGCTAGAAACCTTCATTTAATTTCAAGCTTAATATTGTTGATGGCCAGTTTACATCCATTTGTTCTTGTGTCCACATTGGAGCTTAACTTAAATAACTCCTCTTCCTCCCTGGTATTTATCCCTCTGATGGATTTGTAGAGAGGCAATCATATCTCCCCTCAGCCTTCTTTTGGTTATGCTAAACAAGCCAAGCTCGTTGAGTCTCCTCTAATAAGGTAGGCTTTCCATTCCTCAGATCATCCTCGTAGCCCTTCTCTGCCCTTGTTCCAGTTTGAATTAATCTTTCTTATATATGGGAGCCTAGAACTGCACACAGTATTCCAGATGAGGTCTCACCAGTGCCTTGTATAATGCACTTCCCTATCTCTACTGGAAATACCTACCCTGATGCATGCTAGGATCGCATTAGCCTTTTTCACAGTTGCATCACACTGGCGGCTCATAGTCATCCTGTGATCAGCTAATATACCCAGGTCTTTCTCCGCCTCTGTCATTTCCAACTCATTCCCCGCTAATAGCAAAAATTCTAGTTGTTAGTCCCTAAGATTATGACCTTGCACTTTGCACTATTAAATTTCATCCAAGTTCTATTACTCCAGTTTACAAAGTTGTCCAGATCTTCTTGTATGATATTCCGGCCCTCCGCCGTATTGGGAATACCTCCCAACTTTGTGTTATCTGCAAATTTTATTAGCACACTCCCACTTTTTGTGCCAAGGTCATTAGTGAAAATGTTAAAGAAGATTAGTTCCAAGACTGATCCCTGAGGAACACCACTCATTATCTTCCTCCGGTCTGACAGTTCACCTTTCAGTATGACTTCACCTTTCATCAGTGGTCTTATTGATAGATCCATACTGGTAAGCATTGCTACAGATGACATTCCATGCTCTGCTGACAGGGTGTTAGGATGCACATTTGGTATCAGTGATCTTTGGGTGAATGGATCCATATTATGGATTGACACCAGCTCTGGCTCTAGTATTTCTGCTGCCCTGGGCAAACTGGAAAAACATCCAGCCCACACAGCCTGCAGTCACTTACAAAATAAAGTCACTAAATGGCTTTCACCCCCTAATGAGATAGACCAGAATGAAGTGCAGTCACAGACTACTGCAATCCAACATTTAATGCAAATTTGTTGGTTAGTACATGGGTGAATGTAATAGAAATGCAAGAGACTATAGTAGATAGATTAGATACCATGCCTCTTTAATCTGGAATTTGGAGTCAGTACAGTAGTGATAGGGGTCTATTTCAGTCAGTGCCATACTGTGGGGCTTCAGGGTTCCATGTGAGTATGTCATTCAACCAAATCTCCCTCTCCTCCACTATTGTTATAAGCAATGTCCCTGATTATCTCTGTCACATGTGGTCAAAGTCCTCTGGCTTTGGTCAAGGTGAGCTATTTTCAATATTTATTAATTTATTATTAAGTTTTCAAGGGTGCAGAAAATGTTCAAGGTGCCTCACAAAATGAGCAAAGGTTTGGTCCCTTCCACATACCAATTCAAGGAGACAAGCTGAGTGAGGTCCTGACCAGAGAGGAAAGGGGGGCATGTGGGAATGGAGCACAAGTCCATGTGGCTGGTCACTCAATGAGATGCGTGCACTCTTGGCAGGGTTGCTTTCCAATTTGATGTTGACCCACACTTGAGGGCAAGGGGGGAAGGGAAAGAAAATCTGGTTCCCGCTAAAGAGATGACTTTCCCCCCATCACGATACCCCCCGCTGCATGGTTTCAGATAGTTTTCTCCCTTTGCACTGAGAATGTGTAACCCACTGGTGAGTGTATGTTACAAGTCACCGTTTGTGGTGATCCACAGACCGCAGAGGATATGAGTTGTTACAGCCACAAGTTAAAGCAGCTTGGATGTTTAGCTGAAGCTTTAGTAATTCATACTTTTAGCTCTATAGGTCCCTGGTTCAATCCCCCATGTATTAGTCAAGATGGTAGCCATTACAAGTGTGCCTCAGGGACTTCAATCCCTGTTCCCTACAGAGATGAGCCTAGTGACGTATTGAGAACTGTGTTAAAATTGAGGGCTATCACTTTACATTTCAAAGGTTTTCCTGGTCCTGCTTGCAGGCTGGGGCCTCTATAGGGAAACATGTGATCTAGGTATAGCAGCAAGCAATCAGTATGCAAAGAGCTAGCCTAGAGCAAGGTGTGGTGAGTTGTGTCTCTCTGCCTTAGGGAGCAGTCTGCTTTATCTGTCTCTCTTCTTTGGTTCTCGTTTGTTAAGATTCTGGTTTTTAAGAAATAAAGTAGTGGTGCGGTGCAACCTTCTGGCAAGAGCCTTTTATGTTTTTATCTAACTTTTCTTTTCCTAGGCCCTGAACATAACAGGCTTCAGGGTGGGAGTGAGGGGTACAGGGCAGCAGGCACTGATTTAGCACTACCTCTCTCTCATCATCTCCTTCCCCCTCCCGCAGCCCCCTTGAGCCTCCCTCCTCCTCCCCCCTGGATCCACCCTCCTCCCCTTCACTTCCCCCTCCCGCCCCCTGATCCTCCCCCTTCCCTGCCCCATCCCGCCCCCTGTTTCTCCCTCCTCCCCCTTCCCGCCCCCTGATCCTCCCCTTTCCCCGCCCGCTGATTCTCCTTGTTCCCCCTTCCCCGTCCCGCCCCTTAACCCTCCCCCTGTCCCGCCCCATCCCGCCCCCTGATGCTCCCCCGTCCCACTCCCTGATCTCCATTCTCACCCCCTTTCCGTCCAGGCTGTGCAGGGCCAGGTGCCTCGCAGGGACTACAACTCCCAGGAAGCAGCGCGCAGGGACCGGGGAGGGGGCGTGGCAGCAGGGGAGCGCGGTGACGTAAGGAGAGGGGGCGTGGCCTGCGTGAGCGTGCCGCGGAGAAGGACGCGGTAGCTGTAGCGGGGTGGCCGAGCGAGGTTCTGTTGCGTGCGGGGTGCCCGGCCCCTCCCCCGCCCCCCTCGGCTGCTCGCGGCACCGGGCACCACAGCGAGGCCGGGCCGGGCAGCCGTTGGCCGGCGGGGGTCAGGAGCCGCCAGTATCCGCCCCGCCGTGGGGCTGGGGCCCCCGCGGGCCGCCGCGATGAAGTGACAGCGGGCGGGCTGTGCGGCTGCCGGGCGGCCCCCTGTGCCCGCGGGGAGGGGGTGGCGCTGCCGGCGCGGACCCGAGCCGAGCGGCCGCGCCATGAGCTACCAGCAGCAGCTGGCCAACTCGGCAGCCATCCGCGCCGAGATCCAGCGCTTCGAGTCCGTGCACCCCAACATCTACTCCGTCTACGAGCTGCTGGAGCGGGTGGACGAGCCGGCGCTGCAGGGCCAGCTCCGCGAGCATGTCATCGCCATCGAGGGTAAGGGCGCCGGGCCGGGCCGGGCCGGGCCGTGCGGGGGGGGGCTGCCGCCTGTGCATGGGGGGCTGGGCCGGGGGGGTGGGATGGGACTGTGCCAGGGCCTTGCCCGCAGTGCCCGCAGGGGTGGATGATGCTGCTGTGCCTGGTAGGGGTTGCTCTGGGGTCCTGCCTGCTGTGCCTGTGTGTGGACGCTGCCCTGCTTGGGGGAGCTGCACCAGCGTCCCTGCCTGCAGTGCCCTGGATGCTGCCCTGCAGGCTGCCTGTGGGCTGGCTGTATTGCTGGTTGGGCTGCTTTGAGGCGCAAGAGCGGGGCTGGTTGGATCCGTCCTGTGCAGTGGATGCCGATGCCCAGGGGCTTGGTTCTTCATTACCGCCCTCTTCTCCGCATGGGATAGTGGGTCTGTTTCGGTGCAGAGGAGCAGCGTAGATCTCCCACCTAGCTAAAGCTGAATTGTGCTGAGGCTTGGGACGGGGGAGCAGAGCACTGGAGTCAAGTTTCTAGGTGCTTGCAGATTGCTGCCAGGATAGGGAGGATAGCGATCTCGGTAGGCTAAGCCGGGGATCAGTCTTTCCTGCATTCGGAGGGACTTGGTGCAAGGAATTCTTTGGCATTCTGTTCTGTTTGTGTTGTAAACCCTTATGCTATACATTCTGATTTGGGTATATTAAAGGGCAAGCAAGATCTACAGCTGGTTTATAAGACAACAGTATGTACAGTGTAAAAACATAGGTGTGGAGTCTGCATAGTAGAGAGAACCAGTTTTACTTCATAGATGTGTATATACATATACCTAAAGGACAGATCTGAGTAGGCTATTGAACGGTCTTGGATGTGCATGATTAAAAATCCATTGCTTCTGAAAACTCAGCTAAGATAAACTTTTTCTTAGATGTGGTGATGCAGCAGTATGGGCGTGCATTGGAGGAAAAACTGTATATGATATAAGGAAGCTACTGTATCAAGGTCAAAAGTTGATGACCTGGAGCAAATTTAGGGCAGTAATTACAGACTTTAGCAATAGCTTTGAGTATTCTCTTTACTGTAGGGGACCTACTGAGTTATGACCTGTAGCTTTAACATATATGGTGGTCCTGCCATTAATCTGAAGCAGAAATCAAGTTAGCAGAATAACATTTGGAATTGACATCTAGCTAAAACCATTCAGCTTGGGTGTCTGTTTTGTATTTTGAAAGCACCTGTAATGAAAACCTTATAGGAATAGATGCTGTTGAGGCACAGTCATTTGAAAGACTTAATTACCCATCTGAGTATTATGAAATACAATTTGAGTGGAGGCATACATATAATGTTACATAGTGAGTTAGCATTTGAATAGCATAATAGATCTGAATAGCAAAACACAGAATGATAGCAATGACCAATTTGATAAGAGACATCATTTGATCCAGTGATGCATGGGGGTGGGGAGAAGGGTTCAAACAAACACATCATACTGCTGTGTTTTGCTTTGTGGTGCTTGTAACTTACCTGAAATCATAGCATATGGTTGTCATTCTGCTTGCTCCTGTTTCTGATTCCTCTCCTTTACTTTTCATTGAAGGTAATGGAAACTTATTAACATGCATTGTTGGAAGAATGCAACACGAGCAACCACTTCTTTCTCAGTACTATCATTTTTTCTCCCTCAGGGAGAGAAAATGCCCTGCTTCAGAATGTTTTAATTGATAGGTAACATGAGTTATGAAGGTTATGCATCATCTTCTGTAGATAAGATGCCCTAAATGTCCTGCTACAAACAAGTGCATATTCATCCTTCTAACAAGATTTTAGATTAGAAGAGGCTCTCTATAATGCATCAATTTTTCCACTGATCTGTTGATCCATCTAGAGGGAATGTAAAATCAAACTGTGTGTATAGCTGTCTACATAGCATATGATTTATGTGTGTATTCTCGTTTATCCCAGATTATCTATATCTGGCTCACTTCATATGAAAATTATTGAGGTTTCTAATAAAACTAGGATGCACTTCAAAAGCTGTGTCTAGGAGTTGATGAGTAAAAATTTCTCACGGCATTTTGTAGCTGTGTAACTTGCATTGGACAGTGAGTCAGGAAACCAGTAAAACTGACTCATGAGAAACATGAATGAAAAAAAGACCTTTTAAAATCATACTACCTTATGTTCTGAAGGCTTTCCTGGTAACTGAGAATCTTGTGTGGCATTCTATTTAATCAACCATTGGATTATAACATTCAAGTTAACAAGCTCACTCTTCATTCATGTTCACTTTGCTTTAAAGAATATAGACATCTTCAGGGATAATTGATCAGATCCACAGTAATTTCCTACAGTGTGTAAGATTACTATACTCTCTATATTAGCTCAGCTTCTTTTGATTATATAAGAAACAAATATCTGTACTTCTGTCTGAGCTTCATTGAACGTAGTGATATTTATGAAATATTGGTATATTCTCCAAGGGACCTTCCCCAAGAAAGTTGTCTTTCAAATTAGTTTGCAAATTTGACATATTTGAGTAAGTAACAAACAAAACGTGGTAATATACTGTATAACTTGCTGTGGTTTGTATACAACTCCATAGTGACTAGTAGTTACGTGAAATGTAGGGGGGTAGTTGCAGGAAAACTGATATGTATGGCATGACAAATTTTGGCTAAAATGGAGTATAACTTTGCCACTTATACCTTAGCAGATACAACCAATCTAGTAGTAGAGAGGAATATGTCTGATACCTCTGCAAATACTATACTTGCTGGATTTCTGATGGAGTCAGATTAGAACGGATTTGAAATCTAATAACTGAGTGAGGCTTATTTTAATGAATTAAAAAATACAACATCATTCTGAGAACTCCCTAAGTAAAAAAAAGTCCTTCATCTAACAAATCCCTTTAAAATTGTAAGTACCATAAATCTTTAATTTAAAAAGCTATTGTGACATTATTATTTTAACTTTAATACCTTTTAAAAAATGATTCAGTGGGTTATGTCAGTGCAGCTGCTGGAACAAGAACTATTGAAATATCTTGAAACTCAGCCAGCTACAACCCTTGACCCCATGTTACTTATGATTTCTTTTGTTGTAATTTCTTTGCATTCATTTAGCCCTTGAGTTGTATTTAATCCTATAGAAGTAAATGTATTTGGCAATCATCAAATGTGCTACCTCACTGAACCTGTATTGTAGTAAATTGCTTACCGTACATGATTCTCAAGGGTAGTGTTTAAAGCATTACAAAAAAACTTGCTAATATTTGTGAACTTGTGCATATCTTTGCCTGAGTTATGACAATCCATAATGTCAGTTTCACTTTAGGTTCTTAGAGTTGCAATATTTGTGTTCAGTCACTGCTTGGAAATGTTTTGTTTAAAAACTGTTCAATTAAAACTTAGACATTTTGTTGTTTTTGTATTTAATATATTTTGGCACAAGTTTGTGCCTTTGTCTTCAAGTTCAAACACCACCTAACTGAAGTATAAAATGAGTTCTAATTTTCATTTGTTACACTTGAGATTTAATTAACCTATCAATATTCCTTAAATGCTACAAAACCCCAAGCAGTAACTGAAGAAAGTAATGTGTAGTAGTCTTTGTGTACAGTGATTTAAAACGGTTGTTTTAAGTAATTTATCAAATATATCCTGAGATGCCCAAAATATTTGGGATTTAATATCTGAGTGTTACAGCAGGCATGTTGATGCCATTAAGTGAAAGATAATTAATGAAATTGGATCAGTTTTCATGTTCCACTCTCCCCTGCTTTTATCAGCTCCAACTAGCATTTGATTATGAAAGCTTAACCATTGAATGGTACTTCTAGCATCAGTAATATTTTAGTAATTCTTGGCAGTATGATAGGACATCATTTAGTGATCTGTGGTCTGTAATTAAACCATCATTACCTACTACACCAAACTTTGTTGTGGTACTTTTGGTTGCTACACACAACATAACTGACCGCTTAAGTTACTTGGTCTAGATTTTGTCTTATAATACATCATTTCTAATTCTTCATCCACAGGCACACTTTTTACCCATAATACAGCTACCACAACCTTCAACACTGTTCATAGAATCATAGAATATCAGGGTTGGAAGGGACCTCAGGAGGTCATCTAGTCCAACCCCCTGCTCAAAGCAGGACCAATTCCCAACTAAATCATCCCAGCCAGGGCTTTGTCAAGCCGGGCCTTAAAAACCTCCAAGGAAGGTGACTCCACCACCTCCCTAGGTAACGCATTCCAGTGCTTCACCACCCTCCTAGTGAAATAGTGTTTCCTAATATCCAACCTAGACCTCTCCCACTGCAACTTGAGACCATTGCTCCTTGTTCTGTCATCTGCCACCACTGAGAACAGCCGAGCTCCATCCTCTTTGGAACCCCCCCGTCAGGTAGTTGAAAGCAGCTATCAAATCCCCCCTCATTCTTCTCTTGTGGAGACTAAACAATCCCAGTTCCCTCAGCCTCTCCTCATAAGTCATGTGCTCCAGACCCCTAATCATTTTTGTTGCCCTCCGCTGGACTCTTTCCAATTTTTCCACATCCTTCTTGTAGTGTGGGGCCCAAAACTGGACACAGTACTCCAGATGAGGCCTCACCAATGTCGAATAAAGGGGAACAATCACGTTCCTCGATCTGCTGGCAATGCCCCTACTTATACAGCCCAAAATGCCGTTAGCCTTCTTGGCAACAAGAGCACACTGTTGACTCATATCCAGCTTCTCGTCCACTGTGACCCCTAGGTCCTTTTCTGCAGAACTGCTACCTAGCCATTTGGTCCCTAGTCTGTAGCAGTGCATGGGATTCTTCCGTCCTAAGTGCAGGACTCTGCACTTGTCCTTGTTGAACCTCATCAGGTTTTTTTTGGCCCAATCCTCTAATTTGTCTAGGTCCCTCTGTATCCGATCCCTACCCTCTAGTGTATCTACCACACCTCCCAGTTTAGTGTCATCTGCAAACTTGCTGAGAGTGCAGTCCACACCATCCTCCAGATCATTAATAAAGATATTAAAC